GCCAGAGAGGAGGCCTCGGGCCATGCCTGGGCCCCCCAGACCCCCTCCTCCGAAGCCTGAGGAACATGGGGAGCGAGTAGGGCAGAGGTCCGAATGGCGACTGCGTCCGGGGGCGCAGGCAGCCGCTGGCGCAGGGGTGATGGTTGTCTGGGCGTGTGCACGAGGGCACCGGGAGGGGGTGAACGAGTGAGGGGGCCCCTGCGGTGAGGCCACATCGTGCTGGGAGGCCCGGGCAGTGCCCCTCACCCCCCCATTCACCAGTGTGACCTGAGCCCACCCTGGGCACTCTGCGCCTCAGCCGCTTTCTCCGGGAAGGGGCAGCGACGCCTCGCCTGCCCGCGGGGGCGCCCCCACCTCCCCCAAGGGCCCGAGGCAGCGTGCTGACTGTGCCGGCAACCCCGCTAGGCGAGCTCGTGCACTTCCTGTGCTTCCTCCCCGCACCCACCGGGTGCTGGGTGCTGCTCTCCGCGCCACTTGAAGGATGAACTGACGGGGCTCTCATGGCCCCTCGTAGCCCATTCACCTCCAGAACCAGCTCTTGATCACCGCGCTCTTAGGGCTCCTTCCTGGCAGAGGCCACCACGGCGGAGAGGCCGGAGGAGACAGAGCCTGGCTGCCGAGGGCCTGCGAGGAGCAGGGGGAGGAGACCGTGGGGTCTGCGGGCCACGCGGAGGCGCTCAGGACCCTGAAGAGCAGAAGGGAGGCGAGGGAGGATCTCGGCGGGCAGACAGGAGCCACGTGTTGTTAGGAGGCTGCCCTGCTCCGGTGAGCGGGTGGCTGGGGGCCGGGCTGGAGGAGGGGACCCCGGGCTGCAGAGTCCTCCCTGCCAGAGACAGCCAGGGCTCAGGTCAGTGGAGGCCGTGGGGCTGAGGACACGCAGGAGGTAGGCTCTACAGACCCGTTGGCTATTTGTTCGTGGAAGGTGGGGCAGCAACGGGGCGGCCTGAGTGGCCGGGCAGGTGCCTGGCAGGTGCTGCCTCTCACCAAGGCCACGGAGGTCCTTGTAGGACACGTAGGGGGCAGTGGGAAGCAAAGGAGGGGGCTGCCTGCCTGTGCATGTTGCAGGGGCCCGTTTGACGGAGGGGTGTCCTGAATGCTCCACAGGCACAGCCAGAGCTGGACTCGAGTGCCTGGCGACGATGGCCTAATCCGGCCGAGCCCTGGGCCGTCTGCGCCTGCTGTGGGCACAGTCCCGGGGCAGGCCAACACCCACGCCTGGGTGTGTGGTGCAGACAAGGGCACGGCTAACCAGGTGACAGGAAAGTCAGAGGGTACGAGAGAGGAACTGGGAGCTCAAGAGACGGAGGTCATGTCTGGTGCAGGTGGCGGGGTGGGGATGGAGTCAGGAAGAGGGCCGTCACGGGGCTCAGGGGGTCAGCAGCAGGGCCCCCAGGGTACAGCTGGGATACTCAGCCGGGGCTCTCACCCAGTGGACACCCTGAGAACCCCAGCTGCCTCGGAGGGGTGTGGGTCAGGCCCAGGAGAGGGACCAGCACAGACAGGGAGACCAGGCCCAGGGAGCCTGTTTCTAAAACACGCCTGTGTGGCCAGAGAGACCCCTGGTGTCTGTCCCTCACCGTCCCCGTCTCCGTCCGTCTGTTCATCCCATCCATTGTCTGTGCCAGGCCCACGCTGGCGTTCCTGCCACTGTGCTCGTGTTTTAGGTGAGACAAATGACCTGGGCAAGCAGAACGATAAGAACTACAAACAGAGGAAAACGGGCCGGGAAGGGAAGGGAGGGAGAAGCACGTGGGCCTTTGTAAACGGATCACACGACACAGTGCAAACAGCAGTATCGGAGCCGCGTAACCTGGAGAGCAGAGCAGTGTTCGGGGTCGGGGAGGAAGGTCAGCGACCCCCCACCAGAGCGCAGGAGCACTGCTGGGGGCAGGGTTGGGTCCTCAGTGTCTCACCATGGGCATCCCAGTCCCAGCGGCAGGCCCAGACCTGGATGCCGGGGTGCCTGCATCGTCTTGCCCCACTGTCACCGCCCACCATGCATCCTGGGAGGTTGTCACTCGTCCACCCACCTTAGCAACCCGTTTTTCATGGCACCAGGCCCACCGGGCTCTCTGTGGATGTTGGGAGCGGGTGTGGGCAGGGAAAGGGCCGTGAACAAACCAGAATGAGGGTGGTGACAGAGATGGCTGGAACGCTGCTCTGGGATGGAGCCCCTGGAGGGTTTGGGTGGCAGTGGTGTGCCCTGACTGAGACGGAAGGGGCCAGGGAGGAGACCCCCTGGCTGCAGTGCGTCAGGCTCCAGGTGCACTCCAGAAGGGGCGCCCGCAGGATTTCCTGCCAGACGGACGTGGGGTGTGAGGGAGGGTCACGTTTCACCAGGTTTTCAGGTGGAGCATCTAGAAGGGCGAGGACCCGGCGGGCGGGGCAGGTGTTGGTGGAGCTTAGTATGAATAAGCAGGAGTGGGGAGTGGAGGGGCGGCTGGGGCCCTGGCGTCCAAGGCCCTTTCAGGCGGGCGTGGAGCTTTGCCCGCTGACTCTGCTGCCCCAGCGTCACCCAGGCCGGAGCTGGCTCCTGCCTCCCGGGAGCGCCCGGGTCTGTGCCGTGGGTAAAGCTCAGCGGGAACGCCCCCTCCCTCCCGCCCCAGGCTGCCCCCACATCTCTATTTACTGCTCTCCCAGCAGCTCTCCAAGGGGATCAACATTGCTGCGTTTTCAGAGAGAATTCGTTCTGGTTAAGGCTGCGTAAAACAGCCCCCTCCCCTTCCCCTCTCCCCACTGTGCTTTCCCAATTCCTCAGAAATATCACCCGGCCCTTACTGGCTTTGCTCTCAAGAACAAACGCACCATAAACACCTTTTTCAAAGCCCCACTGCTTCGCCCTGCAGCCCAGTCCTGGCCGTTTCCACCAGTCCTTGGATTGTCAGAGCCCATATTCTTTTTTAATCAATAGACCCAAAACGTGTATTGTGAGAACAGTTATTAACTGATACCTTTACTCTAGGGGGCACTCGTGCAAACTGATTACAAGACACCAAGGCCCAAGGACAAATGGGCCAGGAACACAAACTATAAGTCACACACACGCACACACACATTCACATGCACACACGCTTTGCGGGGGGTGGGAGCCCAGCAGCTGAGGCTCCGCCAGCACCCGCCCCGTGGTTGAGTGGACTGCAAGGTAAAGCACCGAGAGCAGCATCCTCTCTGAAATACCTTTGAGAGTTGGGCCCTACAGGCCTCGTATGGACAGCGGCAAGAGGAGTCCCAGCAAGGCCTGGGGGTGGGGCTGCCGAGGCCCTGCCACGTGAGGACGTTCAATAAGAAAAAGCCCAGCCACATTCAGAGTTAGAGGGGGCGACCTTCAGCAGAGTCTCACTCGCCTCGTCTGTAAAATGGGCATTAACCTGCTCGGAGGGTTTCCAGGAGATGGAATGATCCCAGCCCCAGCCCGGAGCAGGGCTAAGGGTGTGGGAATTTCTTATGGACACCGTTATGGAGTGAATTGTGTGCCCCTAAAATGCATATGTTGAAGCTCTAACTCCCAATGTGACTATATTTGGAGATGGGGCCTTTAAGGAGGTAATTAAAGTTAAATGAGGTCATAAGGGTGAGGCGCAGACCCCACAGGACTGGTCTCCTCATAAGAAGAGGGAGAGACACCAGAGATCTCTGGCTCTCTTGTGTGAGGACACAGAAGAGGAGGCAGCCTTCTACAGGCCGGGGGGTGGGGTGGGGGGTGGGTCCTCTCCAGAAACACCCCTGACGGCACATCGATCTTGGACTTCTGGCCTCCAGAACTGTGAGATCGTGCATTCTGTTGTTTAAGCCCCCCAGTCTGTGGTTTCTTGCTATGGCAGCCTCTCGGGCTTGAAAGACGCCACTCTGCACACCCTCCCTTTCAGCAAGGACACCCCACCCTGTGCTATGGACGACACCTCAGTTAATGGCAAGATCCATTAGAAACAGATCAATAATTATATCATAATTCAAATGTACACCAACGTAATCCCACGAGCCTTCACGGACAGGGACTCGTTACAAAAGCTTTTGTGAAAAAAGTAGGCCACACAATCTGCGGCAACTTTTATTATATTGAGAAGTCTACAAATTTGAGCTTTTAAGAAAGATTCACAAAATATTCAGTTGAAACCACATTTCTTGGTTCATCAAATTTCAAATATATTTTACTGTGCTGAACAATATATTCTAATGCTGTCTAAAACACAGCCAAATTATTTTTCTTTATTCATTTATACACATTCTGTAATTTTTTTGAAAACCAAGATTAAGATAAAAAATATTACAAAACTACCCAATTACAACTATTATTTTCCCATATACTGAAGTGTTTTCTGTGGGTGCATCTCCTTACCTTATTCATTTTTAATTCTGTACACTATATCGATTGATAAATGCACTTAGGGAGTTATCTTACATTTCTCATAAATTCAAACAGCAACACCTTGTCAAAAGATTAATTCCCTTGGCAATGCAGAACCTCAGGTTTGTTAAAAGCACTCACTTAAAATTATTTTTAAATTTATAGATCATATAAAATAAACAATTTACAAAGGGACAGATGACTTTAAACATTATTTTGAAATCATCTCAGTATGTGGAAATACAAATGATGCAATCTGTCAAATCAGACACCAGTCATTTTGGGTCTTTTGTTGTTATTCTTTGCTCCTTTTGAATGAAATGTGTGCTGTGAGTTTTGTTTCTCCAGGCCCCTCTAGCATCGGTGGATTCTGGCAGCCCTTGGCCCATGAGCCACACAGCACCGAGACACCCCCCACGAAGGCTCTCGGTCCTCGGACAGGTGGGAGGGGCCCGTGTCTCCAGGCCCCCAGCTGCTGGAACTAAAGACTGCAAGAAAATGAAGCAAGGATATGCGTGGACATGCCAGAGGAGGACACGTGCAGGAAGTAACGCCCAACAGAAATTACAATAAAGCGCCTACTATGTCAAAAATAAGGATTTCTCAAAAGAAATATTAAAAATCAGTAATGTATATATACCACGTGAAAAAGTAGCAAAACCATCTGCAGAGCTGGCTGGTCTTCACCGCAGTCTGTGATGCGGCCACTGGTGGTGCGTTTGCAGAGGAACTTCTCCAGGAAACAGCTCACGACGTCAGCGTTAAGAACCATAGCGATCCTAAGGAGAACCACAAGGAGAGCTCAGGAACACTCAGCGTCTGTTCCTCGTCGCCACACACACGCAATGCCCAGCATCACAGGCTGGAGTGGCAATGACACAGAGCAGCAAGTGCCTGGCATCTGGCACCAGCGCTGCCCCCGAGGACACCGTACGGAATCGGGCACTCCCACAGCCACGGCTGCCCGGTGCTGAGGACTCATGAGTTTAAGACTTGGAGTAGCATCCTGCCATGGCCTCCGCGGGGAAGGACTGGAGGCAGGGAACAAAGGATGTGGCATGCAGGGCCAAGTACTGAGCCCTCCGGGGGCAAGTGTGACGGGAGGACAGGGAACACATCTGGAGTCTCAACCCCAAAATTCTGGTTCGGCTGAGTGATCTTGTGGAAGCAACTTAACCTCTCTGTGCCTCTGTATCTTCACCTTAAAATGGGGGTGATCATCTGTGAAATAGGGACGTCACCCACTTGGAAGGGCTGGTGTGGGCTCAGCTGACCGCGGGGACATGAAAGGGCTCTGTGAATTCTACCCAAAGGCTGTGTTATCAACAGCAGGAGCCTCAGGGCTGAGGGAGTTCTCCATAGTGGGGTCCCCACACCCTCCCCCCGGGAATCCCTGAGAGGCACCAGATCCACATCGGTTAGTCCCACTCCCGAAGGCTGTTTCACATCAATAAGAGCATCCTTCTAAAACGGCAAGAACAAGAAGGCTCCCGAGATCAGCCTTCCGTGCGAGCAGAGAGGGCCTCAGGTTGTCACACACGAGGATGCTCTATCCTCGCCTCATTTACAAGACTGAAACTCAATCTAAATACCCCATGTGGGGAACAGTTAAATAAATTATATGTATTTTCACTCCACACAATGTGGTTTCCAAATAATTTTTAATTATATGGAAATGCTTATAACATCATGAAAAAACAGGATATAAAACCATACATATGACATAATCCTTTTTTAATTTTAAAAAGATATGCATAGATATGCATAAAATAAAATATTCCACAATATTCACAAAAGTTTCCCCTGTGAGGTGGGAATATAGGTAATTTTTATTTTCTTCTTAATATTTCCCTGTTCCAATATAGGAAAAAAGTGGACAACGATCATGACAACTCCTGTAAGAATTCTGCTGGAGTCACACATTAGAAAATTTACATGTAACATGACAATTTCAGGACGTCCTGGGCTATACTGCAGCAAACACATAAATCAATAATTTTATTTATTGAAATCTATGAAATGTGAAATCTAATTTCCCAGAAGTTGAAGAGTCATCCGAATCTCATTTTCAAAACTATGAACCCACCATCCTCCCAGTGAACGCCCTCCCAGGTGCACTCACCTGAATGGAGGTCATGACTCCGTTGGCAAAGACGGAGAGTTTTCCAGCGACGGACCGCACGCCCTGCTTCAGCTGGGCCATGTCAGGCGCGGCGGGCAGCACGCTGGCGAGGTTGTAGTTTCCTGCACGCAGAGCACACGCGGGCTGTCACTCTGCCGCCACGAGGGCACAAGCGGTGCCCCGGGACTCAATGACTCTGGAGAACATGCCCCGCCCCCCCCCCCCCCCAGCAGCAGCTGTGGCTAAGGGAGAAGGACCCTGCAGGGGGGCTGGGACTGGGCTTCAGTGCCAGCCCTGCTGTGATCCAGCTGCGAGAATCCACATGAGAGAAGATGCAGAACCGGCTCCTAAGACCATCATGGGTCCAAATATGTTCACTGCCACTTCCAGGCTGTGTGCCTTTGCAGGGGCTCCTTAACGCTCTCTGGGCCCCCATTTCCTTGGGGTGCTTAATACAAGACCTGACAGGTAAGCACTCAGTAAATGGCAGATGGGCAGACATCTGTGGTTTTGTGTGCTCAGCATGCTTTCTCCCCTCTTTTGGTAAAAATCCGTCTCCCTTCCCCTGGGGTGGCCTCCCTGCTTGCCCCCATCCCAGGGGTGGACACGTGACCTGGGCCTGGCCAATCAGAGCCTTCCTGGGATTCATGCATCCTCAGCCGTTTGCTGGCCCTGGGGCTACTGCGGGGAGAGTTCAGGCTCCGCTGCAGCTATCCGCGTCTGTGGCCCTGGCTGTTCCCCTCCCCCCGCTGCTCAAGGATGCCCGGGCAGTGCAGGAGGACGAGGCGCCCCGGGCAGGTGAGCTGAACAGGCGAGTCTGTCTTGACGCTGCTGCCGGACTCTGGGCCCAAGCCACGCTCACGCCGTCCTCAGGCTGGTCCTCCTCGTCTCGCCAAGCCGGTGTCAGCGGGCCTCTGCTGCTGCAGTTTAGTTGCCCCGACACAGACATTAGCACACTAACCTGTGCCACCAACACGGGTGACACATGTCAGTGTTCTCACATATAAAGGGGCCAGGAGCTGACACCCGGGGTTTTGGGTGAACTTTTGTCACACAGTCATCACAGGATGCTGGAGGGGCTCAGCGACTGTGAAACCTGCGAAACCAAACCCTGCAGGTCCCCTGGGGAGCCAAGCCCAGCTGCCCACCCGTCTACACCGCCTGCCCCTTGAGCATTAGAAGCCAGGTCCCTTTCCAGAACCAAAATAGAATGGACACGTTATCCTTCAGGACAGACAGCCCCCAGGAGACACGCTGTTGACCCACAGCACCAGCCCCAGGCCCACCACATGGGGAGGGCCCCAGGTGCGGTTCTTCCCCTCTCTGCCCCTGGCTGACTGTTTAGTGTCGTAGGCCTCTGCCAATGACGGAGTGGAAGCCCAGCCCAGCGCCGGGATCTGGGTTCAAATCCCAGCACCGCCACTTACCAGCGGAGCTACCAGCCTGTAAAGTGGGTCTCTACAGCAAACAAGGAGCAGTGGAGATCCTGAGCGCACAGGGATAGAGCCATAGCTGCTCTCGTACGAGGCCAGGTCCACAGTGGCCAGGGTGGTGTGGCCCAGAGTCGGTGGGGGGGCTCCGGCAGAAGCACCTACTTATGTTTCCAGCTTAAGAAGCATTTGAAGAGGAGAGCACAGCTGGGGCAGGACAGCTTTGGGACCAGGACCCCTCACTGACTACATTCAGTCCCCAGGTGCCATGAGATGGCTGCCTCAGTGTCATTCCTCTCCTCGCCTTCTCTGTACAGAACTCCCGAATTCTAACCTTTGCAGCAAAGCGTCTCTAGGTGACAGAGTTCTGGTCAATGCGATGTAGGCAGAAGTGCCTTACAGGGCCAGAGCATGCCCTTTTCCTCCTTCCTGCTGGCTGGGATGCAGATGTGATGGCTAGAGCTAGAGCAGCCATATTGGGCATGAGGTGAAGTAGAGAATGGAGGTCAGGAGCGACAAGATGACAGGGGCCTGGGACCCTGACTCAGGGAGCAGCTTGCCAGTCCTAAACTGCCCGCTGTGAGGGAGAAACAAGCTCGGGTCTGATTTAGCCTGTCACTGTGCATCTTTATTACTTACTTAATCCTCACTACTGATCTACACTCCTGGGGGTACAACTGACTCGCGGCAACTCCTGGAGTAGGTGTCAGGTCCCCGGCAAGGAGGCCCCTCCTCCCCCCGCAGGTCTGCTGCGCTGGGCCTGACGGACTCCAAACAGAAAACTGACTGCGCATCTCCCGTGTCCTCCTCCGGGTTCTGGGCGCCGTGTCTCCCGAGAGCTGCCCGGGTCGGCAACAGCTCTCAAGGACAGCCCAGTGTTCGGCTACACAATGGCTCCAGGAAACGGGAGCTCACGCTGCTTCCTCAGGAAGAGGCTCCCTGCCCGCTTCCCGCTATCTGTCCCCGTGACACCCACAGCGGGCCTGGTGCGGCGGACACCGACGCGAACCTGCTTTTCCAGCGCTGACCGCCTCCTGGGGAGGCAGATGGTCAACTGCCGACAGCACTAAGAGAGCCTGGGCTGTGGCCGTGTCTAAGCTGGTGGCAGCGGGGTCAGGAGTGGATAGGTCTGGGTGTCCCGATTGGCCGTGGGAGGCTGGGAAGGAGAGAAATCAAGGACAAGTCCCAGGCTTTTGGCTCAAGCGGCCCGGAAGAGGGGCTCCCTCTCTGGGATGGAGGCTGGGGAGAGCAGGCAGGGGGCAGGGCGGCTGAGCCAGGCGGTGACAAGCGTCGAAGTGGACGTCCTGCATCAGCCAGGAAGGCCGGGTGACGCCGTGCTAGCGACCTTCACTGCGCCCAACACGGGTGGGTCGGCGGGGGTCTGCCTGTCACGGTCACTCGATCCAGGCCCATGGGGCCACCTCTCAATTCAAGCTTCCACGGCCACAACAACAGAGAAGGAAAGACACGACGCCACACCAGCTCTGAAATTCAGCTCCAGCCGAAGTGGAGACATCGCTGCCGTGCACCTGTCACCGGCCGCGCGGCGTCAGAGCTGGTGGAAATGCGCTCCTCAGCTGTGCTGGAAGAGGCGGTGGCGCGGCGGGGACACGGCTCCTGCGCTCGGCCCGACTGAGGGGCCCACTGACCAGCGCCCCTGCCTCCAGAGCTCAACGAGCCCCAGCCCATTCATGCCCGTCCACTCACTCACTCAACAGACACGGGGGCCTCCTCTGCGCCAGGCACCATCAGGCGCCAGGGCTACAGAGACGAGAAGGGACAGGTCCTGCCCCTGAATAGCTCGTGGTCCAGTCGGGGAAGATGGTCATCGGACGGCCTCACCTGGGTGGTGAGATCACAGGGTGGTGGGAGTGTGCAGGGGGCCTAACCAGGTAAATGACAAGAAATGAGCCTGGAAAGGCCGACAGGAGCCGTGGTCCTGAAAGGTGCGGGAGCTGGGGGGCAGAGCTGCTCTCCAGCCCAAGGGCAGATTTCAAGCCCGGGATGACTGGACTGTATTTTGAAAGGGCATTCTGGGAGGAGGGAGAAGAGAGGAGGGGGAAGCCACGCCCAGAGGCAGGAAGACCAGGCGGGGCAGTGGGCCCGTGTGGGCAAGGAGAGGGAGGGCCTGGCCTCAGGGGGACCCAAGGGTGCTCCATGCGAGAGACCAGCGGAGGGACAGGTCTGTGGTGAGCTGCGGAAGCTGGAGGGGCCCAGGATGACCTCCAGGCTCTTCAAGCAATGAGCTGTCAATAGACTATCATGTACCCATTTCCCTGGAATGGAGACGAATCAAGAGAAAAAGGATTTCCAAGGTTACCCGGACACAAGTTCACTCAGGCACAGAAGCGCTGCAGCGACAACTCCTCGCAGACGGCCCGGTGGCCGTGGGTTTGCTAAAACTGACGAGACTCCGGTTTGTATAAACGAATCTGCGTTGGCAACACTACCGCACAGCTATGACGTTTAGCAAATAACCAGACACCATCCCTTGATTGCAGACTGGGGTCAGTGCTTCTGAGGCCTGCAGGGCCCAAAGAGGCCACTGTCCTGGACTTTGGGCCAGGGCAGGGAGGAAAAGAGGGTGGCCAGGGTGCCCCGAGGGACCCTCAGGATCAAGGAGATGAAAGCAAACAAGACACCACGGAGCCCCACACAACGCACGGAGAAGGGTCTGCAGCGTCTCGGCATGCAGGTGGCCTGCTCGGATTCAAACGATCAGAATTGTTTTTTGAGAGAATACACGGAGGGGGCAAACTGGGTTTTAAGCTTCTTTTGTTCCAACGCTGCTCTCACAAAGCTACCTCTGCTCTGTCATTTGGTGCCCTGAGAGGCTCTCTCCTAAGGCAGTGCCCAGTTGATGGCAGTCCCACACCCCCAAGTGACCCTCTCTATTAGAGGGACCACAGGGACCGAGCTGTGCCAGGCTGGCGGTGGGCGCTTACATGTGTTTCTCATTTGATTCTTCTAACCCTGAGAGGGAATGGCCCCGTGAGAAACGTCGGGGCTCCTGGGTTAAACCACATCTCTGGGACGTATTTCACTTCAGCAGGAGGCATTTCAAATTTGGAACTCTCTGCCCCCCGACTACACCCCGAAGAAATAATAAAGGTGTACTGTGATCTCCCAATGACACTGATGTTTCACAGATGGGGAAACATTGTAAGATAGGGAACACAGAATAGTTTTTTAAAACAGCTTTTGCTCTCTGCTGAAAGGCACTCTAAATAAAAAGTAAATATTTAATAAGAATTGTTCAATGCTCTTACATTTAGGGCAGTTATTAAAGGCATCTTTTATAATGAGCTTGATGGAAGGTGCAGAACGAGGGTGACCCTGGTCTGAACCACGTGGGTCTGGAATGGAGGAGAGAGGGCAGACTGCCCGCTGGGTAGGGGGGAGGTCTGTGGGGTCCAGCATCCAGGGTGCACCTTACTGTGCCCGCGAGTTCCCACCGACAGAGTTTGCCTGGGACACACACAGGCCAAAAGAATAAATGGACCTTTGTTCTCTGAAAGGGGACAGGAAGGTAAACACAGGCTGGCTACAATTTTCCATCAACAATTGGAAAGGCCGCTCTCATTTGATCTCCAAGAGGTTTTTTCAGCAAACAATAATGTTTCAGAGAGAAACTTCCAGCAACTCGAATCACAAAAGCACACATTGCCAGGGATGGTTTTCAACTCACTAGGTTCTCAAGACTGACCCGCCCCCTGGGCCAGGCTCCTGCGAGGTGACCAGCACTGACCCACGGGGGTGCGGATGGGACTGCTGGGACACTCCAAAGGGGCCAAGCAGCCCTCTGCCAGGGAAGTTACAAAAGGAAGCTGCCCTGACAAGAGGCCGGCACACGGAAAGTCTGGGGATGAGAACACAAGCCACACCTGCCCCCCGACTCGGGGCAGGAAACACCCCGTCGGAAAGCAGCCTGACCAAGAGCAACAGGCCCCTCCTGCTTGGGGTCAAGGGCGAAGCACAGGGCGCTCCCCGCCCAGAGGGCACCACACAGAGGCTGAGGCCCTGGCCCCCGCCTGTCTCTGCAGTCAGCACCCCCGCGGCTCACCAGGCACCGCCTGGCTAGAGCACCCCATCTCCCCGCAGCACAGCAGCCTGGCAGCGCCCACTGCACCCCGAGGGCCCAGGGGACCCTCTAATGCCCCCCAGACCCCGACACAGAAGGCCCCAACACTCAAGCCTGTCCTGTGACCTTCTCTGTGGAGCTGTTTCTCTCTGAACTCAGAAAACAGCTATTCTCTGTGGCTGCAAGACTAGGTGGCCGCCCATGTTGGTCCCCCCAAGTCCACACCCAGCTCCCCAGGGTTGGAAATGGGGGGCGGGGTGCAGGCGGTGCCGCTCCTGCTGATGAGCGGTTCCTGAAACGACTTTAGAGGACACTGCTCCTTTAATGTTAGCGGTGACACAAGAGGGACACGGCCCTTCCCTTCCCCCTTTGGCCTGGCTGAGGCCCGGGTGGGACTCAAACATGCTTTCCTACTGGACACAGAAGTACGAGCAGAGAGCAGCGTGGTTCTGGACATCTGGGACAGGCCTGCACTCAGGCTCACTCCCAGGACCCCCAGACATCTCCTCCCTGGAGTCTGGACCCTGGAGAGAGACGGGGGACAGGCAATTCCTCTCCACCGCCTGTTCCCAAAGCTGCATCTGTCTCCCTGGTGGAGCCCCCTGTTCTGTCTGCTTCTGCCTACCCCCGGGCCCGGGAAGGCCTGGGAGGGCTGCCCTGTGCCAGACACCGAGGTGGCACTTTATATACAGCACCTCATTTAAGCTGCATCACAATGTTGTGAGGTAGGTGTTACCCACCCACTTGACAGAGGAGGAGACTGAGGCTAAAAGCGACAGGGAATACTCAAGGTCTCACAGTTGGGGAGTGGTCAGCGCCACACAGGAGCCACGGCTGTCCACCTCCAAGGCTGTGATCCACACGGAACCAGACGCCACGTTCACACTGTGCGTCCGCACAGTGTTTCAGGAAGACGACTTGCTGGGTCACTTGGGGGATGCTGCTTAAATTTCGTGACTTGGTTTTCCCACGTTCAAAGTCTAGAATAATAACTTCTGCTCTACCTGACTTACAGAGGAGATGAGAGCCTCAAATGATGGTTGCTAAAATATCTTGGACAAGTAAAAAGTCCTATCCAGAGAAGAAGTATTCATGCCATAGACACGATGGAGACCAGCCTAGTTAGGCCCCCGTTACCTGCTGTCTGCTTCCTCTGCTCATCGAACAGATCAGCGGAACTTATGGAGGAACTGGCGGAGAGCCTGTCCAGTCGTGCCCTGGCTTCATACTAGAGAAGACAAGGAGAAGGAAACATCAGGCTCCAATACCAGGAACAATTTTGCAAAAAGAATCACTGAAGAGCTGTCATCTGAATGCGCTGTCCTAACCCCACCACACACCAGGCTCCCTCTCTCCCACAGGTGCCACTGTCACGGCTGGGCTGGGGAACAGCGTGACACTCACGTTCTGCAGGTCACAGGTGAACAGATCAACATACAACCATGGCCAGCAACGGTCAGGGGGAGGGGAAACGAGAGTGAGGGCACGAGAACGACATCTCCAGGAAGCTCTCTGCCGACACCCGTTATGTGACTTTGTGACTGAAGTTGAATGTCATCAACTTGAAAACAAGGCCGACTTCTGGGGGGTGGGGGAACAGCCAAGCGGCAACTCTAAATACTCTCAAAATGCTGGTGAAAGTTCTACTGCCACAGAATAAAATCAGCACACTTTAGGAAACAGTTCTCTGGAAAGTCCAAGAAGCCTAGCACGTGTCTCCAAGACGTTTGTGTAAGCACGCCAGCGCTTCAGGATCAGCGGGAAACCGTGTCAACCTCTCCATTTTCATTTGAGTCTTACTGCTCAGCAAGACCCCACTAAGGAAAGCTCATTAACCTTTCTGAGAAAAGAGGCAACAACCTGAAAATAAATATCTCTACCCTTCAAAAACATCTATATACTTCATTTAACTACGATTAAAATTAAGTAAATTACAGCGGTATCAAAAATCGCCTGAAATTCACTCAAAAGATATTGAATTTTTTGTTGTTGCTAAGTTGTAGAGTTCTTTATATATTTTGGATATTAAACCCTTATTGGATAAATGATTTGCAAATATTTTCTCCCAATTAGTAGCTTGTCTTTTCGTCTTGTTGATGGTTTCCTTTGCTGCGCAGAATACAATTCAACAACAACAAAACAAACAACCTGATCAAAAAATGGGCAGAGGATATGAACAGACATTTTTCCAAAGAAGATATACTGATGGCCAACAGGCACATGAAAAGATGTTTAACATCACTAATTATTAGGAAATGCAAATCAAAACCACAATGAGATATCACCTCACACCCGTCAGAATGGCTATTGTTAAAAAGACAAGAAATAACAACTGTTGGAGAGGATGTGGAGAAGAAGGAAACTTTGTACACTGCTGGTAGGAATGTAAATTGGCGCAGCCACTATGGAAAACAGTATGGAGATTCCTCAAAAATTTAAAAATTGAAATACCATATGATTCAGCTATCCCACTTCTGGGTATTTATCCAAAGAACATGAAAACACTAATTTGAAAAGATAAATGCACCCCCATGTTCACTGCAGCATTATTCACAATAGCTAAGACTTGGAAGCAACCTAAGTGCCCGTCAACAGATGAATGGGTAAAGGAGATGTGGTGCATACACAATGGAGTACTGCTCAGCCAAAAAAAGGGGGACAAAATCCTGCCATTTGTGGCAACATGGATAGACCTTGAGGGTCGAAAAAAGTCAGGTGAGAAAGCCAAATACCGTATGAATCCACTCATATGTGGAAGATAAACAAACACACAGATGTGCAGAACCTGTGGTGGTTACCAGAGGGGAAGGGGGGGCGGGGGAGTGGGCAAAAGGGGTAAAGGGGCACGTGTGTATGGTGACAGACGGCAACTAGACTTTTGGTGGTGAACACGATGCAGTCTGTACAGAAGTCGAAATATAATGATGTACACCTGAAATTTATATAGTGTTATAAACCAATGTGACCTCAATAAAATAAGCAAATAAAAAGATATTGAGTGGATGGCTACTCAAAAACTGAGAGAGGAGTAAGAGAAACATGAGACACAGTCCCTACCCTCCAGTCACTCCTCCAGCTGGGGCAGCGAGGTGGGGTGATTAGTCAGAAAGACCTGGGATTGAGCCCTGGCTGCAGCGCTCTGGGGCCAAGGGCCTCTCGCAGCCTGAGTCCATCTCCCTCAGCATCCGTCACCTCCTCTCACACCTCCCATGCTCCTGCTTGTTTCCTGCTCTATGGGGACCGCACAGAAACTCTCCGGACACTTACATCAGCTTGGGCTTGTCTTCCAAAGTACATATCTGATGAAATGGCTTTGACGTTGCCAAACTTCTTCTGGGCCTCATCTGTATTTTCAACCGGCTCATAGTCTGGCTTGCGGCGAGCAGTAGGTCTATGATTAAAAACAGCCAAAATAGGAGTGACATCAGCAAGATGGTGGAATACAAGTTTTCTACCATCATCTCCCTACAGAACATTGATTTTGATAATCACCACAGACAAGAATGTCTTTGTGGGAGTCCAGGAGTTCAGCAGACAGGTTCCAGCACAACCATGGAGGAAAAAATCCAAGACTGGGTGCACTGAAGAGGGTAAGAGGAGCAGCTTCACTTTGCCCATGTCACCCCTCCCCCAAGGCAGCAGAGCTCAGTACCAAGAGAGCTCCACCAGGCCCATAATTTCTCCCATGGGGGAAAGTGAGAGGGTGGCGAGTGGGTGCCTGGTTTCCCCATCTGTGTGGGATACTGCCAAGGAGGCCCACTTCTTTTTCACACCACGCAGAATACTGAGGTGATCTGCATGGCTTAGGTCTGGGAGAGGCTGGAAGCACAGCAGACAGGGCTTGGAACTCACCAAAGGCACATGAATCCTACTGACCACTTCGCAGACTCCACGAGGAGGCCTGCTCAAAAGCCACTGGGTATGCTTTGCCTGTGGAGCCTCCATCTGGCCCACAGGTGCCCTCCAATGTTCTGTGTGCCTCACACACACACCCCCCTATAGAAGGTTCCCTGTGCATGCCCCCAAAGATGGCGAGTGCAAGCCTTTGCAGACAGCTAGTGAGCATGCACAGAAAGCTACCCCAACTCTGCAGGACTGGGAGAAAGCACACAAACTTGAGCACTTCAGGGCACCATCCTAGGGAAAGCAAATGGGAGGCCCTCAGCACCTGGCCTGGCTTTGTGGGATCAAGAGGAAGCATACCATCTTAAGAATTCACCCCCAAAAGGGAACAAGAAGTGTGGAGTGGGTGTATCCATAGACAAGGTCTGAGAAAGCCTCAGAACCTCTAGCAGGGCCTGACTGCTGAAGATATTTCTCTCCCAAAGCCAGTCAGTAAAAACTGGAGGAGGTGGCTGTTTCTAAAAATGCAAAGACAGCAACACAAGACTCCAAAGAACATGAAAAATCAAGGAAACATGACACCACAAAGGGACACAATAATTTTCTGGTAACTGACCCCAAAGAATTGCCTGACGATGACTTTAAAATAATTGCTTTAAGGAAGCTCAGCAGCCTATGAGACCACAAGTAGACAACACAACAAAATCAGGAAAACAACACACCAACAAAACGAGAAGTTCAACAGAGAGACAGAAATAAAAAAGAACCACAGAGAAATTCTGGAGCTGAAGAATACAAAGAATGGAATGAAAAATGCAACAGAGAGCATCAACAGCAGACTTAACAAGCAGAAGAAAGAACCTGTGAACTCGAAGACAACACATTTGAAATTACAGTCATGCGTTGCTTAACAATGGGGAAATACACCCTTAGGCAATTTTGTCATTGTGCAAACATCACATAATGTACTTACACAAATCTAGATAGCATAGCCCACTATACACCTAGGCTATATGGTTCTAATCTCGTGGGACCACCACCATATATGCAGTCCATCGTTGACTGAAACATCGTCACGCAGCAAACGACTGTATCCAGTCAAAGGAGAAAAAAGGAAAAAGAATGAAAAAGAGTGAAGAAAGCCCATATGAATTACGGGACACCATCAAGAAAATAACTTACACAGTATGGGAGTCCCAGAAGGAAAAGAGAGGGAGAAGGGGGCAGAAAGCTTATTTAAAGAAATAATGGCTAAAAACTTCCTAAATCTGGGAGACATATGGACATCCAGGTACACGAAGTTCATAGGTCCCCAAACAAATTCAACCCAAAAGAGGTCTTCACCAAGACATATTATACTAAAACTGTCAAAAATCAAAGACGAAGAGAAAATTTTGAAAGCAGCAAAAGAAAAGAAACTCGGGCCGGCCCTGTGGCTTGGTGGTTAAGTGTGCGCGCTGCGATGCTGGCGGCCCGGGTTCGGATCCCGGGTGCGCATTGAGGCACCACTTCTCCGTTCATCCTGAGGCCGAGTCCCACATGCAGCAACTAGAAGGATGTGCAGCTACGACACACAACTATCCACTGGGGCTTTGGGGGGAAAAAAAAAAAAAAAAAAAAACTTAAAAAAAAAAAAAAAAAAAAGAAAAGAAACTCATCACATACAATGGAACCCCCATAAGGCTATCAACAGATTTCTCAGCAGAAGCCTTGCAGACCAGGAGATAGTGGGATGATATATTCAAAGCACTGAAAGGAAAAAAAAAATGCCAACCAAAAATACTTTAGCCAGCAAAGCTGTCCTTCAGAAATGAAGTAGAGATAAAGACTTTTCCAGACAAAATAGCTAAGGGAGTTCATCACCACTAGACCTATCTTAAAAGAAATGCCAAAAGGAGTTCTTTAAGCTGAAGTGAAAGGATGCTAATTAGTAACATGAAAACATATGAAAATATAAAACTCACTGGTAAAGGTAAGTATATAGTCAAATTCAGAATACTTTCATACTGTAATGGCAGTGTGTAAATCACTTAACTCTAGTACAAAGGTTAAAAGACAAAAGTATTAAAAATAACTATAGCTACAATAACTTGGTGGATACACAATATAAAAAGATGTAAATTATGACATCAAAAACATAAAATGTAGAAGAGGGTAAAAGGGTAGAGTTTTTGTATACAATCTAAGTTAAATTATTATCAGCTTAAAATAGACTGCTATAACTACAAGATGTTTTATATAAGCCTCATAGTAATCACAAAGCAAAACCCTACAGTAGATACACAAAAGATAAAGGAATCAAAGCATTCCACTATGGAAAATCATTAATTCACAAAGGAAGACAGTAAGAAAGGAAGAAAGGAACAAGGGAACTACAAAACAGCCAGAAAACAATAAAATGGCTTTAGTAAGTCCTTACCTATCAATGGTTACTTTAAATGTAAACAGATTAAATTCTCCAGTCAAAAGACACAGAGTGGCTGACTGGATATGAAAAATAAGATGCAACTATATACTGCCTACAAGAGACTCACTTCAGCTTTAAGGACACACACACACTGAAGACAAAGAGATGGAAAAAGATATTCCATGCAAATGGAAACCAAAAGAGAGCAGGGATAGCCATATTTATATCAGATAAAACAGACTTTAAGGAAAAACTGTAACAAAAGACACAAGTCATTATATAGTGATAAAGGGGTCAATTCATCAAGAGGATATAACAACTGTAGACATAAATGCACCCAACATGAGAGCACCTAAATATATTAAGCAAATATTAACAGATCTAAAGGGAGAAATAGACAGTACTGCCACAACAATAGGGGTCTTCAATACCCCACTGTCAACAATGGATATATCGGGGCTGGCCCCGTGGCTTGGCGGTTAAGTGCGCACGCTCCGCTACTGGTGGCCCAGGTTCAGATCCCAGGCACACACCGACGCACTGCTTGTCCGGCCACGCTGAAGTGGCGTCCCACATACAGCAACAAGAAGGATGTGCAGCTATGACATACAACCATCTACTGGGGCTTTGGGGAGAAAAAGGGAAAAAAAACAAAAACAAAACAAAACAATGGATATACCATCCAGACAAAAAATCAATAAGGAAAATTGGGTTTGAACTATACATTAGACCAAATGGACCAACAGACATATATGGAACATTCCATCCAATAGCAGCAGAATACACATTTTCAAGTGCACATGGTACATTCTCCAAAATAAATCAAATGTTAGGTTACAAAACAAGTCTTAACAAATTTAAGAAGACTGAAATCATACCAAGTATCTTTTCCAACCACAATGGTATGAAAGTAGAAGTCAGTAACAGGGGGAAAATTGGAAAATTCAAAAAAATTAAACAACACATTCCTGAACAGCCAATGGGCCAAAGAAGAAATTAAAAGAGAAATCAAAAAACATCTTGAAACAAATGAAAATGGAACCAAAACATATTAAAACTTCTGGGATACAGCAAAAGCAGTTCTAAGAGGGAAGTTTATAGTGAAAAATGTCTACATTAAGAAAAAAGAAGTATCTCAAATAAACAACCTAACTTTATACTCCAAGGAACTAGAAAAAGAACCAAGCCCAAAGTTAGCAGAAGGAAGGAATGATAAAGATCAGAGCAGAAATAAATGAAATAGAGACTAAAAAAACAATAGAAAAGATCGACAGAACTAAGAGCTAGTTTTTTGAAAAGATAAACAATAAACAAAATTGACAAGCCTTCAGCTAGATTAAGTAAAAAGAGAGAAGACTCAAACAAATAAAACCAGAAAAGAAAAATGAGACATTACATCTCATACTGTAGAAACACAAAGGATCAAGGAGACTACTCTGAACACTTTATGCCAACAAATTGGGTAACCTAGAAGAAATGGATAAAATCCTGGAAACCTACAACCTACCAAGACTGAATCATGAAGAAACAGAAAATCTGAACAGACCAACAATAAGTGAGGAGACTGAATCAGTAATCAAAAATCTCCCAGGGGCCGGCCCAGTGGCGTGGTGGTTGGATTCGTGTGCTCCACTTTGGCGGCCCAGGGAGCATGGGTTCAGATCCCGGGCATGGACCTATGTACCGCTTATCAAGCCATGCTGTGTGGCAGGCGTCCCACATATAAAGTGGAGGAAGATGGGCACGGATGTTAGCCTAGGGCCAATCTTCCTCAACAAAAAGAGGAGGATTGGTGACAGATGTTAGCTCAGGGCTAATCTTCCTCACTGAAAAAAAAAAAATCTCCCAAGAAAAGCCCAGAGCCAGATGGCTTTACTGATGAATTCTACCAAACATTTAAAGAATTAACACCAATCATTCTCAAACTCTTCCCAAAAACTGAAGAGGAGGGAACACTTCCAAACTCAATTTACAAGGTCAGTATTATCCTCATACCAAAGCCAGACAAGGATACCACAAGAAAAGAAAACTAAAGGCCAATATCCCTGAGGAACACAGACGAAAAAAATCTTCAACAAACTACTAGCAAACTGAATTCAATAGTACATTAAAAGGATCATAAACCAGGATCAAGTAGGACTTATCCCTGGGAGGCAAGAATGGTTCAACATATGCAAATCAATAAATATGATATACCACATTAACAGAATGAAGGATAAGAATCATTTGATCATCTCAATAGATGCAGAGAAAGCAGGTGAGAAAATTCAACATCCTCTCATGATAAAAACTCTCACAAAGTAGGTGTAGAAGGAATGTACCTCAACATAACAAAGGCCATATATGACAAGCCCACAGCTAACCTCATACTCAGCGGTGAAAAATTGAAAGCTTTTCCTCTAAGATCAGGAATGAGACAAGGGTGCCCATTCTTGCCACTTCTATTCAACATAGTACGGGAAGTCCTAGCCAAGTAATTAGGCAAGAAAGAACAATAAAAGGCATCCAAGTCATAAAGGAAGAAGTAAAATGGTCTTTGTTTGCAAATGACATGATTCATATATAGAAAATCCAAAAGACTCCACCAAAGAACTGTTAGAACTAATAAACGAATTCAGTAAAACTGCAGGATACAAAATCGACATACAAAAATCAGTTGCATTTCTATCCACTAACAATGAACTATCTGAAAGAGAAATTAAGAAAATAGTCCTATTTACAGAAGCATCAAAAACAATAAAATACTTACGAATAAATTTAACCAAGGAGATGAAAGACTTGTACACTGAAAACTATAAGACATTGGTGAAAGAAATCAAAGATACAAATAAACGGAAAGATATCTTGTGTTCATGGATTGGGAGAATTAATATTGTTAAAATGTCCTTACTACCCAAAGTGATCTACGGATCCAGTGCAATTCCTATCACAATTCCAATGGCATTTTTCACAGAAATAGAAAAAACAATCCTAAAATTCGTGTGGTACCACAAAACACCCTGAACAGCCAAAGCAATCTTGAGAAGAACAAAGCTGGAGTTACCACACCTCCTGATTTCAAACTATATTACAAAGCCACAGTAATCAAAACAGTATGGTGCTGGCATGAAAACAGACACACAGATCACTGGAACAGAAGCGAGAGCCCAGAAATCAACCTATGCATATATGGTCAACTAATCTTTGACAAGGGAGCCAAAAACACACAATGGGGAAAGGACAGTCTCTTCAATAAATGGTGCTGGGAAAACTGGATGTCCGCATGCAAAAGAATAAAACTGAATCCTTAACTTATACCACTTATAACAATTAACTTAAAATGGATTAAAGACTTAAATGTAAGACCTGAAACCACAAAACTCCTACAAGAAAACATAGGGAAAAAGCTTTTTGACATTGGTCTTGGCAATGATTTTTTAGATATGACACCAAAAGCAGAGGCAATAAAAGCAAAAATAAACAAGTGGGACTACATCAAACTAAAAAGCTTCTGTACAACAAAGTAAATAATCAATAGAGTGAAGAAGCAACCCACAGAATGGGGGAAAATATTTGCAAATCATATCCTGATCAGCAGTCTTACAACTCAACAGCAAAAAACCAAATAATGTGATTTAAAAATGGGCAAAGGGGGCCAGCCCCATGGCGTAGTGGTTAAGCGCACGCGCTCTGCTGCTAGAGGCCTGGGTTTGGATCCAGGGCACGCACCAACACACCGCTTGTCAGGCCATGCTGTGGTGGCGTCCCATATAAAGTGGAGGAAGATGGGCACAGATGTTAGCCCAGGGCCAGTCTTCCTTAGCAAAAAAAAAAAAAAAAAAAAATAGGCAAAGGACCAAAATAGACATGTTTACAAAGAAGACATACAAATGGCCAACAGGTATATGAAAGAGTGCTCAACATCACTAATCATCAGGGAAATGCAAATCAAAATCACCTCACACCTGTCAGGATGACTATTATCAAAAAGACAAGAGATAACCATTAGTGAGGATTGAACCCTTGTACACTGTTGGTGGGAATGTTAATTGGTGCAGTGATTGTGGAAAACAGTATGGAGGTTCCTGAAAAAATTAAAAATAGAACTACCATATAATCGAGTCATCCCACTTTTAGGTATATATCTGAACGAAACAAAATCAGTATCTTTTTTTTTTCTTTTTGTGAGGAAGATAAGCCCTGAGCTAACATCCATGCTAATCCTCCTCTTTTTTGCTGAGAAAGACCGGCTCTGAGCTAACATCTATTGCCAATCCTCCTCCTTTTCTTTTTCCCCCCCAAAGCCCCAACAGATGGTTGTATGTCATAGTTGCACATCCTTCTAGTTGCTGTATATGGGACGCGGCCTCAGCATGGCCGGACAAGCAGTGCGTCGGTGCGTGCCCAGGATCGGAACCTGGGCCACCAGTAGCGGAACATGCACACTTAACTGCTAAGCCATGGGGCCGGCCCCCAAAATCAGTATCTTGAAGAGATATCTGCACTCCCATGTTCATTGCAGCATTATTCACAATAGCCAAGATATGGAAACAACCTAAGTGTTAGTGAGTGGAGAATGGATAAAGAAAATGTGATATATATACACAATGGAATATTATTCAGGCATAAAAAAGGATGTCCTGCCATTTGTGATGACATGGATGAACCTGGAAGACATTAGGGTAAGTGAAATAAGCCAGATAGAGAAAGGCAAATACTGTATGATCTCATTTATATATGGAACCTAAAATTAAAAAAGTTGAACTCACAGAAACAGAGAGTAGAATGGTGGTTCCCAGGGGCTGGGAGGTGGGAAAATGGGCAGATTTTGGTCAGAGGGGACAACCTTTCATTTATAAGATGATTAAGTTCTGGGGATCTAATGTACAGCACGGTGACTATAGTTAATAATACTGTATTACATACTTGAAATTTGCTAAGAGAGTAGATCTTAAGTGTTCTCAGCACCAAAAAAAAAACAAACAAAAAAACAAGTCAAAATAGGTTAAACTAATTTGGTTAGGCAAATGCATTTCTCATTTATAATGTATACATATGCCATTTTACTTTTTAAAAAGCCTACAGCAGTAATTTTGTAAAAAGGATTTCAGGCCACTTTAAAAAGCCTGAAAATTCTAATAAAAAAATGAATAAATATCCAAGCCACACAACATTTGAAGGAATTTTCCTATTTAAAATAGGCCTATTATTTCACTCTTCAGTTCCACGGATCAATCAGTATACACTGAATACATTGTTTGCAATGCACGTGAGACACTGCTCTACAGTACATAGGATACAAAGTGAGTAGGGTGACCGTATATTCCAGCGACCTAGGACAACCCTGTTACTAGGACCTAGTTACACCTGTTGTCCCCTTGCACGCTCAACAGTTCCCTGGTTTGGACAATAAATTATACAGTCCTCCATTCATAATCACCAAAAACTGGGGACAGTTCTTCGATAGGTGAATGGATAAAGAAACTCAACAATGAAGAGGAATGAACAAAACAGCACGAATGAATCTCAAATGCACTATGAAAAGTCAAAGAAGCCAGTCTAGAAGGCCAGTTACTGTATGATTCCACTCACGACATTCTGGGAAAGGCAAATTGTAAGGTCAGAAAACAGGCCAGGATACAAAGAATATTCTTGAAGTGGTAGAACAAAATCATTTACTAGTCTTCAGAGAATTTCCCAGATGCACGGATTCACTCTTTACAATCCCACTGTTTTGCTGTTCATACCTGTCTGAATAGCCTGTGGTTTTCAGAATTGTGTCAGTATCTTGGATGGTCTCTTTTTTCCAATAGGAACCTGAATTGTCATCCCAGCCAGAGAAAGAACTGCTCTTCAACTCCATCGGCTCGTCAAAGCACCTGTAGGAAAAAGAGTACAAGAGTGACTTGGAGGACCTTCCTCATGTCCACCCACATGGGGTACATGGTGACTACATTTCCCAGGCCCCTTGAAGTTGGGGGCAGCCACGTGACTAGATCTGGCCAACGCGACAGGAGCAGACACGAGGAGAGTCACTTCCAAGGCCTTTCGAGTGCCCTTGCTCAACTCGCCCAGTCCTCTCCTCCCTTGTCACATGGAAGAGGCCATGTTTTCCAGGTGCTGCAGCCTCAGGCAGGTGAATCCATGGACAATCAAGGTGCCACTTGAAGGACAGGTACTCTAGACAATCACCTGTATCCTCAGCTGACTTTTAGTGAACAAGAAATAAGCCATCATCGTGTTAAGCCCTTAAGATTTGGGGGGAGGTTTGTCACTGCAGCGTAACCCAGCCCGTCTGCACAGCACGTGACATCTTTGAGTGTTACACTACAGGTTACATATTCCATTCTCTTCAGGTCTAGTTCTGCCTAGTTAGGTAGTCACAAACAATGCTGCTGGGCCTGGAGAACTGACTCCATCTGAGGAGCTCCTTGTTGGCAATCCCTGCCACGTTAGCCATGATATAAGGCGCCATTCCTAACAGTAACAACCTTTTAACATAAGTGATGCTAATTAGCCTCCTCCTGGAGTCAGATACAAAGCTATGGATGATTGATCACTGGACCATTCTACAGATGCTCTTTCAGTCTGGAGCTTGAAGTGAACTTGATCTGTAAGCCTCTCCGAGGAGATGCTGGCCTTCTGGGTTGGTTTACACTTTCATTAGCCGAGCATCACTGAGCAAGGCATTGCTCCGAGAGCAAAACTCAATGGCAGCCTTCAGTCCTGTGTGGTGAGAGGAAAATCTTTGACCAAGAGCAGCAGGGTTTGCTGGAACAGGACAGAGATCGACAGGCGAGGTGCATGCGCCAGAGCCTTAATGAAAAGTGACTGTGCCATCTCAGAATTCACGACAGCTCAGGATGGAAGACGCCTGGCCAGAGACGGACTCCTGATACAGGCGGAGTTCAAGACGTTCGGGAGAGAGAGGTAGATTCCAAGGCTTAGGTCTGAGGAAGGGAAGGAGGATGGAACAGAAAGCAGAGGCTTCCAAAAATGTCGCCCAGGCCTTCCGCAGAGCAAGACCGGAAGCACAGCGCGGACAAGGTGAGCACCAAGCCCAACATCACAGGAGTCGTTCAAAGACGGAAGCCTGCACGGTCAGAGGGGCCTGCAGTCAAAGACGAATGTAAGAGGGCAACAGGAACCTGCACGAGCATAGGCCAGGGACCCCAGGAGCTAAGATTTGGGGGGAAAATGCTAAGGACAAATATACTCTTTTTTCTGGCAGGGAAAAAAAAAAAAAAAAAAGGGAGGAGGGATAAACCTGCTGTTTGAAGCAGATGGTGTGACTTTACACGGATAATAGAGAGAAAGCAGAATTTCCAAATGTGGCTTCTGCCTTCTCTGGCAGTGAGGTCATTAAGAACAAACCTCGTTACACGGACGTCTCTCCCCGGGAAGGAAAACACGCAGTGTTCAAAGCACATCTGGATTTCAGCCAGAAACCGACCGGGCTCTGCCTGTGGCTGATCCGCAGATGAGCCACGGCTCCGCTTGCAGGAAGAGAGACAACCCATCTCCGTTCAGGGAAGAGACCAAGACAACGAAGAGACTTGAAGTCACATCAGAGAAAAATGGTTTGAAAGATGTGGGACGCACGTTGGCCTGGAAAGTTATCTTCAAATGTTTCAGGCACTTATTTGTAAGGGCCCCCAAAAAAAGAACTAAGACCGATTCAATGAGGAATTTAAACGATAGTTAATAAGCACTATGAGGGGCCAGGCACTCTGCCAGGCGAGGACACAGGGCAAGGAGACAGTCTCTGCTCTCATGGGGCTGCCTGATAAGAGCTCAGAAACCCAGGGAGACGTATAGTAGGAGGCAGCGTTTCTCACGGAGCTGCCCATGGACTGAACGGCTGCCTTGAGGAGGAGGAGGATTCGGGGGGCTGCACGGTCCCCTGGAGGGCACTGGGTGGGTGGAGGGGGCAAGCACTGGACAGTGGGCGGTTGGAACTTCCAGGCTCTTCACAACTCTGAGGTACTGGGGCTTAGGATTTTGTGGATTTAGTATCAATCTAAGGATATATTCTTCATTTCATATAAGCCAAAGTGCTTACCCTGGAACTTACAAGGGCATTGGATTTTTAAAAAAATGAGTGGACTATTCAAAAATCAGAAGGAGAGAGAAAGCCATTCTGCTGGGATCCTACAGATTAGCACCAGCCTGTTACATCGCATTCTAGGTGCTGGGGCCGGGAGGGGGCGGGGGTTGTTTCCCTTCCTCCCCCTCACCCCAGAGGCTCTCTGTGCTCTTACCCAAAGCAGGAGGCACACAGCAACTCGCTGGGGGACAGGAGACGCCCCGCCAGGCTGCCAGCTGCCTGCTGGAAGGAGGGGGTGACAGGACCGGCTAACGAAACACAACCGCCACCCCCGATCTCCAAATCTTTACTGACTTTCTAATGTTTTGATTTCTAGATTCTAGTTCTCAATGCTTTTCACTTTTATTTTTGCCTTTTCACTGTCTTCATTCAACCCTGAAAACATTCCTTAAAGTCCCTTTTTTTAAATTTTTATTTATTTATTTATTTTCCCCCAAAGCCCCAGTAGATAGTTGTATGTCATAGTTGCACAGCCTTCTAGTTGCTGTATGTGGGACGCGGCCTCAGCATGGCCGGAGAAGCGGTGTGTCAGTGCACGCCCGGGATCCGAACCCGGGCCGCCAGCAGCAGAGTGTGCACACTTAACCACTAAGCCACGGGGCCAGCCCCCTTCAAGTCCCTGAATAAGAGCTCCTTCATAGCACACATCTGATTTACAGCTAGAGACAACCGTCTATTCCACTGAAGGCCACACTGACTTTATAAAGTTGAGCAAATTGTTCTAATTTCATTATTTTGTACTCAATATATAATTACATTGTTTATATCTTGAAAAAAACGGAGCTCAATAAAACAAAAACCCAAAGATATGGTTGATCTTATTTTTAACAGAAATGGTACTCTTTCATAATTCATAATATTCATGTTCTAATGGGGTAATGAATCATTTGGAAGCAATCAGAGCTCTTCATGGAACTAATAGGCTTGTTTTCCGAGACTCCCTGTCTACTCACCTCAGTTGCCAAAGTACTAAGAGCACCCTTGTTCTGCTCACGGCGGTTACGGCCAAGGCGGTTTAGAAGAGGCCTTGATGTTCCTACTGGACCACCAGCAGGTGACAACGAACAAGGCACCAAGGTCTCTCTGGCAGGAATCTAGTCAGTGTGGTCTGTATCAAAGCACCACCTGCTCCCGGGTTTCAAACCATAAATAATTGTTTCACAGCAACGAAGGCTGTTAGGTTAACTCTTTTGACTAAGCTTTTGGAGAAGGAGCAGCCTACAGGATTCCTAAGGCTCCTGACAAGGCAGATAAGGCCCCACGGGAGCCTCGAAGTGACCTGGAGGTGGTGATGCTCTGCAGAAGTTTCTCCGGGCCCAATACGTGGGTAACCTCACTTGTAGCCGTTTCTCTTTCCAACCATGCTACCGAGCTGCAGCACTGATTTAACTTGAAATTTCTTTTCTTTACTCTCCTATGCTCTCATCTGCAGGAGTTGCTATTGAGCGGTGAAATAATTAAAAAGGTGCTGTGGAGAAGCCAAACAGGCGAATGCAGGCCCTGCACTACCCAGAGTTCCCTCTGACTCAGACTCATTCCCGCATTTAACGTGCATCTCTGAAATGATCTGACATGTATGCAGCTTTCAAATCCAGTTAAAATTTAATTTCGTCCTGTAAAAAATGTATTTAAATACTTTTAGAAGGCATGATTTGGGAGTTAGCTCTGAGTAAACTGAAACCTGGTGTGTTGCACAGGTTACTCATCAGAGGCAAATATAAAACCATCCCCGTCTCTGGAAACACTAACAGGGAACATCACTAAAGTGCTAACATCTTTTGGTAAAAGATCTGCACTTGAAATAATTTGAAGCTATGCTAGGAGAATTTTTTAAGGACAGTACTCTGTATACAATTCCTTACCTATGAGCTTTGATAGGAGAATATACAATGTCACAATTAGATTCTAGTTAATAGTTAACACGTGTTTATATCTGCTGCATACATGAAATATGTATCTGTTATATATAGGAAAACACTTTAAGCCTGTGTAATTGCCAGACAACGGTAACGCCCTTTGAGAAGCGAGTGATGGAGCCTCCTCGTAAGCACCGCCCATTACTGCCAGGCACACATTCCATTTTCCCACACGCCAAACTTGAAGCTGGGCCTGGACACGGGTAACGTAAGTATCTAACAACAGGAATTAAACAGTCAGATGGAGTCACAAGTCCTTGAATTGAGTTTCTATATAATCACAGCAGCTAAACAGAACATTAAAAATGGTCAAGTACTGTTCAAACACTATTTGTATTAAGTCCTTTAACCCTCACACAACCCTGTGAGGCAGATACTGCTAGGATCCCCAACTTACAGAGGAAGCTGCAGCCCAGAGAGCTTAAATAACTTGGCCAAGGTCACACAGCCACTCAGTGGCACAGCAGGATTCAATCCAGGCCTCCGGGCTCCTGGGCCAGCACTCCTACCCTCTGCTTCTCAGCTGGCGCCCACGTCCAGTAACAGCCCAGGTTGACTCGGTGCCTTTTTCGCAGGCCTCTCCCTGTGCTGGTCAGGTTCTTGAGGAACCTCACAAAGTGAGCTGCTTTCAGTTTAAACTTTTTCTCCCTGCTCCTGCACGCTGCTTGAACCTGAACCCGGCCCTCTCCGTGGTCAGCTTGCCACCGGAGTCAGGCAATTTGTCCCAATCAGACAGCGAGCGCAGAATGTCAGGAACCGAGGCTTCATCCTGGGAGCCCGTCCAGTGCAACAGTGCTTTTCCTTCACAAACACGCACACACAAACAGTGTTTATTTAATGTTATATCCTGCCAGTTGGAGACTCCAGAAGCTGGTATTCTGAAACAAAAGAATCTGCCGGAGGCACAGCTGTGAGCTATTCCAGCCGCTGGAATAAGACTAAACAACCAAATGATGCCTTCAGGATTCTGCATAGTTCTCCAATTTCACATTTTAGATAAACGCAACTTTCCTATCTCTAACTCTTGGTTGCTGATTTTACTATCAAACATTTTAATATCAGCAAACATTGTCTACTTACGAATGTTTTCCCCAATTTTTTTCCAAACGACACCCTTGACTCCAGCCAAAGCTTTTAAAAACAATGAAGTAAACTGACTTGTATTTGCTCCTAATGCAAATAAAATAAATAAGTCCATACTAATCACTGCTTTTCTTTTCTCTTTCTTTTTTTTTTTTTTGAGGAAGATCAGCCTTGAGCTAACATCCGATGCCAATCCTCCTCTTTTTGCTGAGAAAGACTGGCCCTGGGCTAACATCCATGCCCATCTTCCCCTACTTTATATGGGACCCCGCCACAGCATGGCTTGACATGCAGTGCATCGGTGCACGCCCGGGATCGGAACCTGCGAACCTCACACTTAACCACTGCGCCACTGGGCCAGCCCCTCACTGCTTTTCATAATAACACTTTAAGGATGATTTTTAACAGATTACCTTGAGCTGGAAGTAAAATAGGAATCATCATTGTCATCATTATACTTTTTTCTTGGTTTTGCTAGGACTGGTATTTCTTGTTCAATGGTCTGCATATCTGAAGTTACCGAATGTGAAATACCACTTGAGGAAATAGAGAATAAAATGGAAAAAATTACATTAGTTAGTTCATGAAGACACTTGTGTTCACGAAAGAATGAATTTTAATCTATACTCTCAACAAAAGTAAATTTATTAGTGGAGTTAAAAACACGAGCAATAAAAACATTTTCTTTTTGGTATAATCATTGAAGAATACTGGACCTTAGTGAGGACTGTAACTAATTACACAAAATACAGTCACATTATCAGCTATGTTTGTGGGACCCACCTAATGACAAGTCAGACTTATTTCCTTTTTTCTTTTTTTTTTTTTTGTGAGGAGGACTAGCCATGAACTAACATCCGATGCCAATCTTCCTCCCCTTTTTTTTTTCTTGAGGAAGACTGGCCCTGAGCTAACACCTGTGCCCATCTTCCTCTACTTTATATGGGATGCCGCCACAGCATGGCTTGACAAGCGGTGTGTCGGTGCACGCCTGGGATCCGAACCTGCGAACCCTAGGCCACCAAAGCAGAGGGCGCGCACTTAACCGCTGCGCCACTGGGCCGGCCCCTTATTTCCTTCTTTCTAAGAATCAAAATAGGAATTTTTATGCTATATTGAATACTAGAATAAAGCAAACAATTGAAGAAAGGAAGGAACAATGAGAAAATACTTCTAAAGTTGAATTAACAAGGAAAATCCATTCATGATTAGCAAACCGGTTTACACTCTGAAATCCAGGAAAGCAGAGTCTCACATACCTTCTGCTACTTCCAAATCCCATGCCCAGTCTCTCTGACTCGATCTTTTTTTTGCCACTCATGTTTATCTTCTCGTCTTTCTTCATTTGAATTTCAAGATCCTTATAGGCTAATCGTAATGATGAAACACTGCCAGAAAAACCAAATGCTCCTTAATTTAGCTTTAATTCTGTGTTCTTAATTTAAAATACTCAGCAAAATCAAACATGTCACTTGTACTTTTAGCTTTGTGCTTCTTTCCATAATTAACAATTATGAAGGTAGCTGGCATTTTTTTTCTAAAGGACTTTTTTGAGTAGATGCTCAAGGAAATTTGAATGAGTTTACAGCCACTTTTTGGTTGCTGCTGACCTACATTACTGTTCTAGTTTATACTACCTATTATCATATAATAATAATTTATACTACCTATTATGTAATAACATTATGTGTACCAAAACTATTTCTATATAGGATAGTGAAAAGCAGAATTTCTCACTTGGACTAATATTTTTTTTTT